ATTATGAAGTTCTATTATGTATTTTATTTACTCTATGTTTAAATTTTTATTAGGACCAAAATAAATTATAATTTTCATTTCAACTACAAAAACCCTCATAATATTAAAAAGGGGGAAAACGTTAGATTAGTTAGGTTCAGGAATAAACTCTTTAAACTTTCATCTACTTAAAATGTGTTACTTTTAGAAGGTATGTTATTAACTTTCTATTTGTACTTGTATTAATTTATTTCATTTTATTATCTGTTATATCTTTAAATTAATTTTGAGATTAATCTTATCTATTTACATATTTTTTATATTCACATATATGTTTTTTTCAGTGAAACAAACGTTTATTAGCTTATTAAATATAATGAATTCATGTTGTTTTATTATATGCTTGCATAAAAGATTACTTTTATTTCCTTTTAAAAATGAATTTCGAAAATAAAGCCGAAACGGTGAGTGAGAATAAAAAATTAGACAAGTGACGATATTTCATCTACATGCTCCTTTTTCTAGCCATCTACACCTGAGCCAGCAAGATTCGTCTTCCCTCCATCCTTAAATTCTCCAGATTTACAGAGAAAACGCCGTCCTCCTTAACTTATCCAGACCTTCCTTGACGGGGACTATACCACTACATTATCAGCTTTATTTGTTATCCCGAGCAATTTAAATACATTCGTAATTGCTCATTCTCACCTCTTCTCTTGTAGATTCCGTACTCAGTTTTCTTATTTTTAGTTACGTTTGCACTGCTCTTTTATTTTCACAGCTCTAATTCTATAATGCTGTAACGCTACAATATGGATCCATTTTTGTGGTTTATATTATTTAATGTTATTCGTAATTGACCAACCTATTATAATAATTAAATATTATTGTATTACAGGCCTGAAGATGTTCCTGTAAGGCCGAAACTAGTCGCTCCTGTATTTATTTATAATAAAATGAATTTTAAGGTTTTATTCTTCAATTGAAAAAATTAGAACTTTACAGTGATTTTGTTTCATTTCCTGCATTAAACACATATAAGACGGTATTCATTTTAAAAATAGTAAAATTAGCAATTTTTTTTAGTTTTTTTTTACAATTAAAACGTTTGGACAATGTGTGTTTTTATAGATAAATGATACGCCACTGAACAAGAAGGATGTTTACCTTCCCCCTTGTGCCCGCTTCCTCACTTCCTCCACAGATGTTGCTAACACAACAATCGCCTACAAACTCGTTTTCACGCTCCCTCTATTAGTAATTGCTCGGAGCTTTCGACGGCTAGACAGAGAAAGCACTACTGAGAGGCATCGGTTGGCGGGGCCGACGGATTTACGCAATGAAAGTACACTCTGCGCATCAAGTATTTCACTATTTTATTCAGACGTAAATGTCAGATGTAAATTTCGCTAAAACATTTCTTTTATTTTCGTTTGTGTTTTTTGCTCATTACAGTTTAATAGAACCTAAGTATGGAGTTTAATAGCAAATTAAGAGGCCGCGTGATTAACAGTCAATCTCGCGAAATAATAGCCAATGTTATAGAGTTTATGAAAAGAGAAGGAAACTTTAATTCACCTTCAATACCATTTAAAAATGTAAATGATCGTGTTGCTGCAGCCACAGGAGTATCTAAAAACACTGTCGTCCGCATTTCTGGAGAGAAAAAAAGAATCGATAACCGTGAGATATCGGAATTTTCATCACCAAGAAAAACCATTAAAAAACCAAAAACAGTTAATGATATACATGAAGCTGACAAAGGTATTTTAAAAAGAATTATTCTGTTCATGTTAATCTCGGAAAATATTGTTCCAACATTAAAAACAATTCTGACTAAATTTAGAGAAGCTACAGGGTACAAAGGAAGCTATGAAAGTTTAAGAAAAATAATAAAGTCGCTAGGATTTCGTTGGCGGAAAACAAAAACAAACAGAAAAATATTAATGGAAAGGTTTGATATTCAAAAGCTACGTTTAGACTATCTGATTCGTTTAAAAAGTTATCGAGCAGAGGGCCGTCCAATTGTCTACTTAGATGAAACATACATTCATGCCTCCCACACACACCAGAAAGCTTGGAGTGATAATTCAATTGAGGGATTAAAGAAACCAATTAATAAAGGTGATAGACTAATTATTGTCCATGCAGGAGGTGAAATGGGCTTTATTCCGAATGCCCGGTTAATTTTTAAATCTGGAACCAAAAGTGGAGACTACCACGATGAAATGAATTTTAATAATTTTTCTAAATGGTTGAAAGAAAAGTTGTTTCCGAATCTCCCTCCAAGAAGCGTCATTATTGTTGATAATGCTCCTTACCATAATGTCCAGGTAAATAAAGCACCAACGTCAACTTCGAAAAAAGCTGACATGCAGGATTGGTTAAGGAATCATAATATTGCTTACGAAGAGGATATGCTCAAAACGCAATTATACAGTTTAGTGCTATTGCATAAGTCACGATTTAAGAGGTATGCAATTGAAGAAATGATAAATGAACATGGTTTTAGTTGTTTGCGTTTGCCACCGTATCATCCCGATCTTAATCCGATCAAATTAGTGTGGGCATCATTGAAACAATATGTAGCTAGTAACAACACTACATTTAAGAGGCAAGACGTACAACTGTTGTGTGAAGACTTTTTTGATACGTTTTCTAAAGAGGAGTGGCAATCTCGTTGTAATAATGCTAAAATGTGGGAATCTAAGTTTTATGACAGAGAAGTTACTTTGGATGAGGCAACTGATAGATTTATAATTAACTTAAACAGTGACAGTGAGACTGATTTTGAATCTGATATGGAAACTGAAGAAAGTTTTTCGGAAGACCATTAAAATTATATCTGTACCTAAGATCAAAAAAGTATTATCTATTTTTACAACGAAGATGCACAAGAATCAAATTTTATTTTTTTATTATTAGATAGCTATTTTTGTTTCTGAGTTGTGTTCATTTACAGGCTCAATTTTTTTCCGTTTCTCCTTTTTGATTTTATATGGGGTTTCAAGTTGTTTTTGACTTATTTCGACGTAAATCACAACACACTTTTTTAATAAAGCAAACAAGTGTTAAGAGGTATATGTACGTGTAAACTACAATTACAAAAAATGGATATGAAACCCATGAAACCACTAACAAAAATGTAAAGCTAGCTTCCCTACTAGAACATGGTGTCATTCGTCGAGATAATTTATCGTTTTGTTTAATAGATCAAGAAATGTAAATATTCCCCTGTTATTTTTTATAAAATTATAAGAGAAATAATTTTTTTTCTAAATAGTATAGTTTATTATTTTGTAGAAAAACAAAATTTCGAAAATTTTAGTAATGTTTCAGAAACAACCGTTATTAATAATAGGTACCATTTTCCTTAATAAGGTAGAAATAAAATATAAACTATTTCCACGATTTACAAAGGCCTATAAAAAAATTATAGGTATTTTCCGCTATCCTATAAAATTTATATTTTCTGACTCAATTTCAAAAGGTTGAAGGAATTCCAAAACACCTTTTATGGCATAATAATTATTTTCAATTCTACATACTATCTTTAGCTGCTTTTAAAAACGTTCTAAGAAAGTCCAATCAGACCAATTTAATCCCTAAACTATTCCACACTTTTAAAATTTAATTACCTAAAAATATTAAAAACTATTTAAAATAACTTGTTTAGCAGACTGTACAATAGCTATCTTAGTCACACGTAGCGCGTTCTCTGTCTGGGCGTCGAATACCTAGAATACGTAGAAATTTGATGAACTGTAACGTGATGTCTAGTTATTCTATATACTTGTTTAATGTGTTTGAGCTCAATTGATCGAGCGTGGGTTAGGTTATAAAATAACTCGAATAACTTTGAAAAAGAAGTTGGGCACCACTATATTTAAAGATTACTATACTTGAATATAGATTACTGATAAAAATATAGAAAATCACTAACCACTAACAAGTAATATTTAAACCATGCTTTAGATAAGGTAGATATCAAATTCTAATTCACATAGTTTTACTAAATTCAAATTTAAGATGATTTATTAAATAGCACTTATCTTTAGGTAAATGAATACAATATAAGGATTATAAACTGGGTTATCGCATGGTATATCTCCCATAAAGGGATTCGGGATCCTTATTCGTAATTCTGCAACGTGAATGATCTCGTGAAATTTGGTATTCTAACTTAAACTCGAAACTATCTTCTAGAGATGAATCAAACAACGTTCTTCATATTGTACCAAAACCAAAACGTCTAGGTATAAGTCTATAAAATGTCTAGAGATATTCAAACAACTGTCTTCAGATTGTACCAAAACCAAAACAAACTTCTAGGTATAAAAACCATAAAATATCTTGAAAGAAATTCAAAACCGTCTAGATATAGCCATGCTTATAAAATCAGATAGATTAGAATCATTTAGTACATCGGATGACCCAGATAATTATATTAAAAATCAAATCAAGTTGATTCGTTGTCATCCAAAACGACAAATGACATTTAAGAGGTGATTGTGTCGAAATAACGGTTCCAACCGTTACATTATAGAGAAATAAGTCTGTATAATTTACGTTAAATTGTATTTTTTAAGAGAATTTGTATTAATTGTATAAATATTTTTACTTTAACACCGCCATTTGAAATCACTCTACTAAAAACCTCTTCCGAAATGTACACAAGGCGATAACCGATAATTTGATATTTCGATTGCTGTTTGTGCTTGTTACATCGAACTAAACAACGCGCGCTGTCCGATATCCTACCCGACCGCGCCAAATTAAATTAAATCGGCACCGTAATGATTCTAAACAGTAATAAATAGGAAAAAATATAATTGGACATGCAAATACGTTCGTTAAATGATTGTTATGTGTACCGGAGAGGAATGATCGGTGAGCAATTTAGGATGACAATCTTGTTTAAATAGTAATTAAAATAATATATTATGATTCTACACAGTTAAAACAATCATTTAGGATGGCTATTTTGGCTATTTATATTATTTAATGGTAGTAGTACTTACTTTCACATCCTGACACCACCTGCGAGCTATGCACCACAGCATCTTCCACGATATGTGGGGATTCCCCGTTAAGATCAAGACCTGCTATACACCCCTCGAAACCATGCGTTGATTTGATCACCTCTTGAGGTAATAGTGGGTACAAGTCTTTGTATACGCCTCCCAAGTACAGGATACCATCGAGTTCCAAGTTTCCTAAAGATTAGTAGGTCAATGATTGTAAAAAAATAATTAGAACTAAATTATTCAAATTTTAAAACCTATTTCAAAACAGAACCTAAATACAAATATTTATAGTCCGATTATGACTCCCGAATATATCTATAACTCTCTATTAAGACCCATTATCTGATTACGTAAATTTCCTACCCAGATACTTTTTGTTTTATTATTTATTTCTTTATCATTCTATATCGTATTTCATTTATAAACTAGCTCGCACGCAGTGAGTTATCATTAATATTATATCTAATTTATTCTGTATTTTGTACTTATTTCATTTGAATAATTTAACTATATATTTATACTTGCAACTATAGTAATATTCCTTATTGTTTAATTTTTGATAGAAATATACATTTTTAATTCCCACATCTCATTGGGTCACTTTATGACAATTGATATTGGATTGATTATAAATACCTGTCCCATGGTTGGCAGCAATGACGACATCATCATCGACCATGAGGGTGTGTTGTTTGACAGACGGACGTCGTATTCCTACTGTGTGCCAACGATTGTCGTTCAGATGAGATCGATGAGTATCTCTTAAAGTAACAGTGCCATCTCCTGCAAAGATATTAAAATAATACACATTTTTGTTATAAGCTTTTAGCAATTTTGTTATGTTTATACTGTAAGGTTACAGAAATTGAGTGATAATTTCTGATGGGTCCTTTACATCTCAGCTAAACAAATGAAATATAGATAACTAATGGTCTGGAAGCACTTGGGAATTGTCAGTTTTGTTTGCATATTTTTTGTGATTTTTATTCCCAGAGCATATTTTTAAAGTTTTTAGAGTTTCTAGTATTTTTTTAACGAATTTTATTAGTTGTAAGTCAAAAAATTACTATTCAATGTTTTGTTTTCCCTAAAATATACATTTGGAGAAGTTCCACGTCGTTTCAACGGTAAATAAATAAAAAACATAGACAATATAAATATATCGTAAAGCAATGGAAATTTGGATTCAAAACCTAGAATTAGGAACGGTTTAAGTTTATAAACTTAACAAAAACACTAAAATAAAATATTGAAAACATTTTATAAATTATGATTTTGTTATGAATTCTGCCCGGAAAGACCTATTTAAAGCTAGATGCAATTCCTATTTTATTCCCACGTTGGGCGCCAAAAATGTAACCCATCTATTGTACTTAGCAACTTCCAGTGAGGGAAACTGACGTTTCGAAATTCGCGCGAATTTCGAAACGCGCCTTTTTCACCTACACCATAAGAACACGGAATGCTCTTTCGAACCATTACAGAAGAAAGCGAGCGAAGCAAGTGCACCCGGCCATCGTTTCGACAAGTAGAGAAGAGAGCAAGCGAAGCAAACACACCCTTTTTACATCTAAAATATTCCATGCTTACGCATCGCAGATGATAATACGAGAATTTAATACTTTTCATTTCCGTTGGACTCCATGCCGGTAGGCATAGACAGGTATGGTTTGGTATTTTCTGGTGACGGCGAAGCCGCCACCCTACGAGAAGTCGTTGCTTTGTCTTCTTGTTGTATATTCACGGGCCGGCATGCGCATGAAATGGGTTACTAGAATACCACTTTTTCTTCTGTAGTAGTTAGGAGATGAGTGGGACGAGCGTAGTGTGCTCTTATGGTATAAATGGAAAATGAGTGCGCCCGGCCGATGTTTTGAAATTCTCGTGAATTTCGAAACGTCGGCCGGGCGCGCTTGCTATGCTCGCTTGCTTCTGTAGTGGTTAGGAAGTGGGTGGGACGAGCATTTCGTGATCTTATAGTATAGGTGCAAAAAGGGCACGCCCGGCCAACGTTCTGAAATTCGCGCGAATTTCGAAACGTCGGCCGAGCGAGCTCGCTTGCATCTGTATCGCTTAGCAGGTGGGTGGGCGAAGCGTGCTCTAACGGTGTAAGTGTAAAAAGGGCACAGGCGAATTTTGAAATATCAAACCAAAAGCGCCAGCTTCTAAGTTAGTTAGGACATGGGAGGATGAGCGTGATTTTATGATGTAAGTTTGTTAGGTAACTTTTTATTGTTTTGAATTCTGATAAGTTTATGATAAGCGTTTTGGATAAAAAATTTATCAAATAAATCAAATTATCAGTATGTCAGAAATATACCAGGCACACTATTATTCCAAAATAACGCAAGGATTTATCAAGCTTTTAAAGTTAAAGTTTTAACAGTTTTATTTTAAATTTACGAAAAATTATTAAAAAAATATATTCTTGCGTAATTTTGGAGTAATGGTTAACCTAGTATATTTCTTATTACCTTGATTTAATTTATAAAATTTTATTCAAAACTGTTTTGTAAACCTATTTGGAATCTAAATATTAGTATGTTACTTTTTGTACATAAATTTCGACTAATAAATAAATAAATTCACTTGGTTCACAAGTTTTAAAAACTTTTGTATAACACAAAAAGGTATTTTTCGCGGCATAAATCAACATAAAAGTTTGTGATAGATTATGTTATTCAGACATGTCTGATTGGTCTAAATAACATTATCGTTCATGTTGGTTTATGCCGCGAAAAATACCTCAAAGTATGTTTCAAAGTTTTCGAAAAGTATTGTTTATTATTTAATAGATGACGTAATATTAATATTTAAAAATAATGTATAACAACAATTTAATTAAAATAGATAAATAAGTCATCGAGTGTGACCGGAAATAAATTTAATAGAATTAATTTTTAAAGAGTATGGAAATGTTATGGCAAAAATAAGGTAATTTTTTATTTTTCTTTTTCGTTGATTTTAGTTGGAGACTTGGCAACACCGCACTAATTTGTATTGACAGAGCATGACTGATAAAATTCTAACTTCTAATGAATAAGTTTACACAAATGATCACTTAATAATCCTCATAAGCCTCTAATATATCTTGAGAGGCTTAGATGACGTCACCAAAACGCAGGATATCGAGGACGACCTAGTGGCAGAATACGACATAAAGATAAGAAACATTCCGTATGAACACTAAAAATCGCCCGCTATTTCTAGTAGTCACAGACCCGTCCCTGACACTGGATTATCTAAACAAAAACGCTAGAAGAGTCCTGTATACCCGAGTGATATGGGAACTTCGGAAGTCCACTAAACAGATAATCCAGTGTCACAACTGTCAACTCTGTCAATGCCAAGCACTCTCATTGGGATTCAAATTGTATTCGACCTAATCCCAGCGGGAGAATCTTGGACGGGTTCGCCGACACGCATGACTTCATAATACATTATACGGAGGAACCTACACACTACCCTTACAATGGCACGAATCCGAGCACACTTGACATAGCCATGGTCAAAAACTTACCCAACATACAGAACATAACAACAATCAAAACATTGACATCGGACCACGACCCTGTGTTTCTTGAATTAAAAACCAATCACAAAATTACAAGATTTCCCACTGGCACCTATTGTTTGACAGGTCGTTGGAATGCCTAATTAAGTCGAATGTCAATCTGTCACAAAAGTGACGTAAATCTCGGCCGTGGTCACGGTGAACTATAAGGTGCATCAACTCCTATTTAAAAACAAATGAAAACGGCGATAAAACCAATCGTACTTCCTAGCCAAAATCCGCTAGGTTCGCTAGTGTCTATCCGGCGAGAAAGTAAATAAAAGATAAAAGTAGGAGCTGCAATTTGAAAAATGTTGACAGATAAATATTTTTTAAAATCTTAAAATATATAAATCATAGTGAATCGTTGTGCTGTTTTTAATTGTGATTATGGGAGAGAGTATTCAACATATTAATAGCAGTTTTATAATGCCAAAAAACAGTTATACAGAATATAGTGCAAATTATTTATTGGTGGTATGAAAATAAACATTACACCCAAAAGTTCCATTTGTGAAAAACATTTTAATGCAAATTATGTTATCCGTGAAAAAGTGCTAAGTAATCTACTAGGAAACGTTATTTTTCAAGTAAATATGTTTAATGTCTACGTTTTAAATGATTGTAGGTTATGTAAATAGGTTATTCAACTTTGTCTTTTCTGTAATAAAGAGTATTATTAGTATAAAATTTTACTATACAAATATTTCGTATTATTTATCCTGTCTCCTTGGTACTAATAATGTTATGACTTCGACCCTATTATAATGTGTTTATGATATAAATTTCATATACCTACATAGGTATTTCTTTTGATATTTTTCTGACCCTGCGAATAAATAAAATCTTTGACTTATTCCTTTTAGCCTGATTATAATGCTAGAAAGTTGTATCTGGTTATATGAATCAAATAGATAGGTACTATGATAAATGTATTTTACTTGTAGCCTTTTTATTTTTAAGTGTTTAAATATACATTTGTTTAATAATCATCCCCGAATGTGTTTTGTTCCAGTTCTTTAAATGTATTTACTAGGTTTTTATAGAAGTACTGATTTTAAATTAATAAAAATTTGAGTTGTAAGAAATATTTAAGATTTTTCAATTCTGTATTTTTATAGGAGTTCATCCCTTTAAGTAAATAAATGTAGTTCGGGGTCGAAGCAGTTGGTAATTTGTGTATTGAATAATTTGTACATACACTGGTTTATAATTTAAACAATGTTTTTTCTGATCTACCTAATAATTATTTAAGGTTATCTTGTAGATGAAGAGTCTAGAAATCCGCATATTCACACCATTCCGCACTGAAGTCTAGAATTTGACACAAATATGAAGTTAAAAATAACGATCCTATTACTTGAAAATCTACAGATTTTTTTATTTTTAATCCATGTAAAAATTGGTAAATACATGATAAAAAGTAAGTTATTTCAATATGCTGATTCCCTGGTTCCAAATAATTAAATATAACCTTGCAACTATATGTTATGGTGGTTATGGTGCAGATAGGTGCATTTCCAGACCATTCAATTATAAGATTACCATTATTTAATAATAATATAAAAAAAACTACCTAAAAAATGCTGTTTCTGCTTTTATTACTTACGATGGGACTACTTCTCAAAGGAGACGAGAATGTGGAAAGTATTGCTGATACAGTTACTGAAGTTATCCACTGGGGGTGAAGTGTTAATCTTTTAGGAATATAGGAAATATTTTTTTTATACCTAACAACTTAATATTTATTTATTGATAAGTTATAGATACTATGTATTTGAAATTCGAAGTAATCATTATGACAGCAGCGTTCTTCTTATTGTATTCGGATTCTAACACAAATAAAACATCTCATTAAATTTTTGTTAAAATTATTAATTTATTAATTTTACATTAGAAAGAAAATTAACAATATACACAAAATTATTTAAAATTAGAAATAAATACAATTTACACATTTCCCATTATTACACTTTTACTTACTTAATTTATTCATTTCTTATATTAATAATTTAAATTAATAATATAGTTCATTATTTAATTGGAACTCATTTTATAATTTTACTAATTATTTTTTTATATTTATTTGTGGAAAATGAAATATTAAATAAAAGCATAGGAATTGTTCTATTAGATAATAGCAGTAATGAAAAAATAAGTAGGAAAATTTCAAATGTATAGTTTCCAGATTTATTATGAGTTTTTTATATTAATGTACTCAATTATTATGTTCGCTTGTACACATCACAGTTAGCAGCAGACAGTAACAAACCTGACAACACTTCCGATTTTAGAAAAACATAGCAACAATTTGTTTTACATTATATATTTCAATAATGTAATATAATCATCATTTATATTTAATTAATGACAAGGTTTACTTTTTAAATAAAACTATGAGCCCTGTCCCGTTTCAATTAGCACACTTCTCAGATTTATAGTGACTGTCACTATAAGAACAAATCATACATAAATCTGATAAATTCTTTTATTTTTTTAACCCTTTCACTTCCACTTTCATTAAAAAAATACCATTGTAGTAGATTGTATGTTTTCTTTGTTTATTTTAAGTAAATTAAAATATTTTTTATTACTCCAAGACATAACGTCCCTGTTCAGGGACATTACAAAAACAAAAATTTATTAATCCTTAAAAGTAAATAAACCAAAAAGAAAAAATTTCTACCAAAATTAACAGATGTATACTTCAGGGTTAATTAAGACAGTGTCCCTCTGGAGAGACAAATACACTGAAAGGGTTAAATATTTACAAATTTTAATGAGTGTTTCATCATCTTTAACTTTGATAACGGCAATAATTCATTAAAACATTGTATTTACAAGTTCTTGAAAATCTTGTGCAGGGAACCTACTCCATATTTCTAGATTACCCATTTGCTTTAATTTTGGCAGTGATCTTGTGGGTGCTGCACGCCTCTGCTTAAAAATTATCACCCCATATACAAAAAAGCATCATTATTAAATGAACAAGAAACTAAAAAAAAAAAAAAAAATAAGCATTATTAAAAACTACAAAAAGTGCATCATTTGAAAATCCATATTCAAGCTTCAGATTTGTAAAATTAAAAAAATTCCAAATACACATTTAACTTGTTCGATTATGTATTGAATAAAAGGTCTGTTCCAACAATGATCAGAAATAAACCACTGGGTAGTACACAATTTTGCAGTCTCAATAAACTACTGTGCAGAATCCTGAGCATTGTTGGAACAAACCTAAATTAAATCGAAACCACTTAAAAACAAGCACAACTCGAGCATAATTTTTAATTCCTATCAAAATTTTTAATTACTGAATATTTTGTTCTAGTTATATTAAAATTTAAAAGTTCTTACTCTTCATTATAATTATATTTTTTATTTTCCCCATATACCTACATACTATCTCTAACATTTTACAAATTTGATGCCTAATTAAAGATTTCATCTCGCATTGCTGCATTTTTTAGAATATTTGATAAAGCATAGTAGTAACTGCCAGTTAAAACTTTATTTCTAGTATTTAGTTTAGGTAACAGAGACAACGATTGGAACAGAAAATACATACTTTTGTTAATTCAGAATTTTTAAATGTTGTTTTATATTATAAATCTTTCCAGGTATCCTATATCATTTTTTTATAATTTTCAATCAAAACTGTTTAAAAACAAAAAGTTTAATAAAAAAATACCCATTATATTTAATAAGGTTTATGCTCTAAAACTCACTGTTCTTTTAATGGCAGATTTTTTAACCTCTGAGTAAAGTTAGGCGTAAGTATAATCTATAGCCTAATCAGCAAGTAGTTACTTTCAACTTTATTCAGCGGTAAAAACCTGGCCTTTAATCTTAATATAATTGTGTAGGATGGAGACTACATTTGCTAGGGATTAGGGAATAACAAAGATCTGACTACTATAATGACACTTGCTAAATACTGTATAAGTTCTATGTACAAGGAGATAGAACCATGTGAATAACTTTAGTGCTTCGATAACACAACATTGATAATTAACAGATGAACGTATTGGTCAGAAAAACAAATTAATTAATATATTCTACCAATCTCATTTTTTCCAAAAAGTACAGTTACAATCTTGTTATTCTTTGAGATGTATTTATTACTGATACTTATTAATAAAAATAATAATTGATACAGGTACTTAGTGATCTTTGGAAACATATATACTCCAGTCCAGTGAGACTTCATTATTCTGGTATAATGCTATTTCACAGAAATGTTTCTAATTCCAATCACTATGTATGGATTTGATTATAGTAGGTATAAAACTAAATGTTTATTGAATATCTTTAATCTGGGCAATGAAAATCACAAAACTCACTTTAAAAATAATAAGCTTCAATGTGAGTACCATAGTTAAGGTCCACTTCTTCATTTTATAATCAGTAACCCACTGTATTGCTGTTTTTGCCAAAGCCAAAGGTAATATTTGTACACAAAACAAAATCAGCTGTTTTTTATAAACACCCCCATTTCACTTATTTAGTAGCAAGTCTCTGGCAGCAACTTGTAACTTAATTGGAGCATATTTATTAAATCTTGAACACTTTTTTTGATCGTATAAACGCACACATCAGTGTAGCTTGTTTAAAAAAACACTTATAAGCAACCATCAATAACAATAAACTTATTTGTTGACCATTAATTTTTTCATCTGTACTTCTTCTGATAGTTTTGTCATTTTTCATTTCATATAAACTCGAATTTTCACCATAGAAGAACTATTTTTATGATTGCACTTTTTTTGACAGATAAAAAGATTGCCGCAATTTTCCGCCGTAACGACACTACCGAACCTAGCGGATTTTTGCCCTAAGTACGACCAGTTTTGGTATGTTTTTTTCAGGGAGTTGAAACACCTTTATAGTACGCCGTGGCCGTGGTCCAAATGTAACCAAGAAATTAGTTTTTTTAGTCGTTTTATATCGGACCATATCAATTATTATGTCAATGGTCAATAGTCATGTACTAGGCCAAAAATTGACTCCAGTATCAGAAAAATTGTATAAAACTAACGATTTAAAAAATGTCAATATCAAGATCGTCTTCCTAATCCTCCTTGGCGTAATTACATAAAATAAGAAAAATAAAACAAATATTAACTAATTTACCTAACCTGTATGGTCTGGAGTCATCACAAGTTGCTTCGCAAAAATATATACATAAAATAAAAAAAATTAATATTAACTAATTTACCTAACTTGTGCGGCCTGGAGTCACTACGAGTTGCTTAGTTAACCTGTGCCGCCTTGAGTCACCACGAATTGCTTCTCAAAAGCGAAAGAACCTGATTTGGTTCCTTATATGTCAACTGTTGTTGTCAATACTGTCAAGAATATCATTAGCGTTCATTTGGGTAATTTAAAATATTTACAAACAATCCTTTGGATTCTAATGAAAAAACTACTTGATACGCACATCGAGATCACAATTGTCAAACATTCGAATATACTGGATTCAATCAAAGCCTATGTTAAAGGGCGCCCCTTATCTATATTTCATTTGTTTATCTGAGCTTTACATAATTTAAAACTAATATTAGGCCTAGTATGGATCCTTGTAACATACAAATGATTACAGGTAACGTTTTGATTAATTTCATGATAAAAAATTAAATTATTCCTTAATGTCATGTCAATATTAAAGGAGATAACTCTTTGGGTTATTTAATCACTAAAATTTCATATACGCATGTGTTCTAAATTGCTTTGTTTTTAAGATAAAGGTTGTTAAATATCTTAAAGATAATACTTGACATTTACTCACAAAAAATTACCAAAAAAGTACCAAAAATCGTGTATTGGCAACACTGCATATTTAATTAGAACTCCATATCATCGATATTCAGATATTACTAATTTATAACATACAAAAAACATAGAGATTGTTGCCTCTCGATATAAATCCACAATTTCCAACTTACCAACATTGACGATATAATTGATATGCCCGTCAACTAGTTCGACAGCCACGAAGTCCTCTTTCTTGCCACCATTGAATAAAATCAGTCCGTTCGCCTCTCTGGTCCTGAACATGAAATCGATATGTATGCTAGAATAAGCCCTCAACATCGGTAGACCGATGAAGGTGTGCTTCGATCGAAACGTCACCGGCCGATGCAGGTTGTCGGTCGCGTGTTTAACGAATTTCGCGGCAATCTGAAACAAATAATTGTTATTTATGACATCGATAATGAAAACAGCAAACAAAGATATGTATAATACGAAAGATATAATTAGATAGTAAGGACACTTTTCTTAGATCTGGGGAAATTTGTATAGTAGATCTGGCAACATCGCATGCTTCGTTGGTAAGTGCGTCCGTGAATTACCTAGAAACTTGTCTGTCATTGAATGGAAACATCGCTTTTCCACTAGGCTATCAAGTTTGATAGATCCCTTGGCCGAATTGCCCTGTTTAACATATTTACCTTTGCCCGTTATCTATTTAAAGTATCTATCGATCTAGACGGTCTACTGGAAAAGCGGTGTTGCAATTTAATGACAAATTTCTGGGTAATTAGCTGACAATGCAGTGTTGCCATATCTACTTTATAAATGCTCAACGCAGTTAATAGAAATACGAGGCAATTTAAAACGTTGCTAAATATAACTGCCATAAAAAATCGTGTTCTGAGTATACCAGCTTAAGAAATTACTCGTTTTGTTTTGAAATTTAAACAGTATAAAGCAGATAGACGTATTTATGAAACTTACTTTAATATTTGGAAATCCAGCTATGGATTGTTCTGTACTCAGGGCCTTGGCCAGTTCTATATATGGGATATTGTTGAAATAAAATTGCTGGATATCACCGACGAAGTTAGGAACCGTTGTGGACATGCTGATTTCTTCTTCTAGATGGTACAGCCCTCCCAGATGAACAGTACGCCACTGTAGGGATATGAATTTTCCTTGAATCTCGGCTGGAAAATAAAAAAAAATGTAAATACAATTTTAGTAAAACAATATGTTTTAGGTAGCGGAAATGAAGTTTATAGGTGGCTAAAATAATAGAGGGAAAATTAAAATAATGATAAGTGAATGATTAATGATAATATGGGAATTAAATATTATTTTAAATAAGAGCTGAATAATATGGAGCACTATTAAATTGAATTTAAGCATTCAGCGAGAATGTGGGACCAGATTTTTTTTTTTTTTTTAATTTCCAAGTTCTGGAAGTTATTTATTAAGAATTTATAGGTAGCCGTATGCAAAATTTTAAAACCTGTATAGTACGAGCAAGAGATATATTGTGACTTTAAAGCTTTAAAGCCTGCCGGCAACATACAAAAAAAAAACTAATGAGACTGGACATCACCTTTAAATTAGCAATCAAGAGATTGAGTATACTTAATTTTATTGTTACTTCTCTCGATAAAAAGGAAGTATTGTAATCGTGAAAGTTAAGATTTTCACGTTTTCGGGTCCCTAGATTACGAAAAACATGTTTTCCCTATTCCGTCGGTCTGTCCGCCGTCTGTTGTTTGCCGTCTGTCAGTTGGGGCGGTAGCACAAAAACAGTATAAGAGTAAAGCTTCAAATTTTGTATGCAGGTAAGGCTTTCTCTTGGCTCAAAACCGGTTATACTTCCGGTCAGATATATACAGGGTGAGCAATTAAAGCTCACACCCGAAGTTAGCCAACTTTTCTTGTATTTACGCCTTATATTTGGAATTATCTCAAAAGGAAAGAACGTGTTACACGTATCTAAATATTACGTTGAATATTATAAATCAAAACAAGATGTTGATGTTGCTTGAACAGCATTTTCTCGAGTTGTTAGAATCCTCTTATTGGGTAATATAAATAAAAATCTAATATGTCCAGGATAAACTAAATATATACGTTTTCCACATGTAATTCTAAACACACACACATACACATACACACACACACACACACACACACACACACACACACACACACACACACACACACACACACACACACACACACACACACACACACACACACACACACACACACACACACACACACACACACACACACACACACACACACACACACACACACACACACACACACACACACACACACACACACACACACACACACACACACACACACACACACACACACACACACACACACACACACACACACACACACACACACACACACACACACACACACACACACACACACACACACACACACACACACACACACACACACACACACACACACACACACACACACACACACACCCACCCGCACGCACGCACGCACGCACGCACGCACGCACGCACGCATAATATGATATAAGTAATATCAATAATATATAAAGGTAAACTGCCAAAGAAAAATGCAGAGGATAAGGAAAAAGTGGAATTTACTGAAAAAATGAAAAGCGAAATAAGAAGAAAAGTTCACTAATTATATTTTAAAAAAGAGTTATCAACACTTGCCAAGGCTTTGGACGCAATCAATAGTGATCCGTATTTTCCTAAAATGGAAAAGACAAAACTACGGGAAACTCTAATAGATTAGAAGTTCAAATGAGATAAACAAGACAGGAAAGCAGCACTTATTGATTCTGATGAAATTGTTTGTTGGAGACAGAGATACCTCAGAACCATTTTTAAACTACGTGCAGAAGGCAAAAAATACTTTATTTGGATGAAACCTGGTTAAATGAAGGTTACACAGTTAGCAAAATGTGGCAGGACACAAACATTCAATCTTCACGACAGGCTTTTTTGAAAGGATTATCTACAGGATTGAAGGTTCCTTCCGGTAAAGGACGATGTCTAATTATAACTCATATTGGAAGTGATGACGGGTTTTCAAAACGTGTTTTTTTTATTACTAAAAGCTAAAAAACTGGAGACCACCATGAAGATATGAACGCTGATGTTTTTGAAGAATATTTTCAGCAGATGATAGAACATTTACCGAAGGGTTCAGTCACAGCTTAACAATACAGCTAAAACACTCTCTTGGCGGCAACGGTTTGCGTCGATTTCGTCGCGCATCGCTTAAGCTCCGCCTTCGAAGGGAAAAGACGGTTTTGGCGTTCAGAAGCGTACTTAGGCAAGGTGTTGAGTCGTGCGTATAATTTCGTTGATTGTATAATTTCGTGGAGCCTATAATTTCGTTGATTTTGTTTGAGTTAAAGGTACTGTTATTATTTTGGTGACTCTTTAGCTGTGAGTAGAATGAGTTTGTGCAGTCAAAAGCTGTTTTAATAAGGGTTATACCTGCAAGAAAACATTCTTTAGTTTTCCCAAGGACCCAAACCGATAAGTACTACATTATAAGAAATTTTCATTGTTAAAAATATAATTTATACAGGGTGTCTCATTAGTGCGTTATTGTTCATTATTTTGTGGTAGACACGCAAGAAAGTTTTAAATAAAAGTTATATGGATTTGAAAAATATCTACATATTTTAAAAATATCTTTGGATATACAGGGTGTCACGTTTTTGCCTGGAAAATTAAAATGTATGTTTTTTAAATGGAACACCTTGTATTTTATTTTATGATGAAATTATTAACACCCTAAATTATTGTAAAGACGAATTGCTACAGAAAATTTTTACCAGGTATGTGTGTGGTTACCTTTTAATAAAAGCCTTGCGGATCCACTCCTGCGATACCTGTCTTAAATATAACAAAGATCACGTTGAATTAGACGATTTTTCTTTTTATTGCTTTTAAAAGGCATATGATAACGCCAATTCAGATACATTTGGAAATCTGCAACTGTCAAATGATGAATTTGTAGAACTAATATTCAATATTGAAAAGATATTTTAAAATAATTTTGAAGAATTGGCTACAAAAAATAACATTTGTACCACACTTTTAGAATTAATTAACCCAATACCCTTTAGTCATCCATGATAACGTTTTCCAAAAGAATAACTTATTTTATTGTATGTTTAATCTCAATAACTAAAAAATATACTGACAATTAGTTTGACAGAATTGTCATTTATTTAAAATTTTAAAAATAATAGCAGTCGGTTGATCAAAATATGAACGGTGATTGGCGAATTTATTTTTTTTTGCAGTGTTCTCACTACCTAGAATGGATATGAAATATATTCGTTCAATTGAAGGCAATAGCATACTTTTTTGTTTTGTAATCTGTGCATGGATATTAGCCAATCTACGCACATACTACAAAACGAAAAATTATGTTATTGCGTTCAACTACGAATATATTTCATATCCATTTTAGGTAGTGAGAACACCTATTATTTAAAATTTTTTAAATAAGTGATAATTCTGTTAAACTAATTGTCAATATATATTTTAGTTATTGATATTAAATATACATTAAAATTTTTGTGTAGACTCGATAAATAATAGCATTTTGTCCACATTTAAAAAAAAATAAATTTTAATCAAACTACATGATACTAATTTAATTACGAGTATTAAAACTAAAGTCCTGAAAGTTTCGGTGAAGATGAGGACAGAACATCTGCCTTCCATGCGAAAAGCCCGGGATCGAATCTAGGCCGAGGACTAATTAATTTTTCATGTTTATTTTATTTTATAAATTAGTCAACTTCGTAAATTATTTTAAAATTAGTTATTTTGTCTAAATAATCTAAAATAATTTTTTAAATTTGTAGATTTTCGTTAGTGGGTCGTAGAAAAAATATACTGACCATATCGAGTGGATTGTTCATATCACAATCAGACGATTGAGTACTCCGCCTACGACGTCGTGCTCAAACTTCGTCTTTGTGTGATATGGCTATCATATCCACCCTTGTTGAACAAACTACAATTTATTTGTTTTCTTGGTTTAAGTTTTACATCAGAAATAAGAACTAAATTAATTTACTTTTCAAGTTTTCTTGTAAAAATCGATATTACTTTCTCCAAGTACAAATTTAGTATCTACCTGAAATAAGTACTAATTATGTAATATCGTGTAATATTGTAATTCAAATTTCACATTACTATAAAGTTTCAAAATTCCCTACTTCGGTATGGTCAGATAAAAATTTAATATATTATATTAATAAAAACTGTTAAAGTATTACTTCTACAAATCTGTATTTCAATTAATAAGAATACATCTAAATATAACCAATATTGTTAAAATAAAAGCACAAATTCTTTATAATTCCAAAATACCATAGAGTTCCCAGACCTCAGTCGAAGCATTCGTTTATCTAGGTATAAACCCTTTGCGCGAAGAGTAACACTTGCCAGAGACACGGGGTACCACTTGATTTGCATCCACGAGCGTGACACAATTCTTTAACAATTGAAGCCCTTGGTGTAAAAAGGATCCAAGTCACAATTTGTCGTGAAGTGACTGTTTTAGCTCAAAACATTTGTTAACGAGGATTTTACTAGCCACATACAAATTATTTTACCTCTAATCCGAAAGATGTGCTATTTTTCGTAATATTTATATTTAAATAATTTTTTTAATTATATTTGACAGATTTAAAACAAATTAAAAATTTAATTTCCCAAAACTTACTTAACATGGCATGTAACCAACCTTATTACGTCAAGGTTTTCAATTTTTTCAATAATAAAAAAATTGCTTAATCCGGGCCCGACTTTTCCCTTTAATCTAACAGAGATAGCACCATTCCGTCTTGCTTGGTTCTCGACCGCCAGATCAAAGACGCCGACACGGAGTTGTGGAGCTGTATTGTATAAGCTGTGGTTCAGTTATAGTAAAGGACAACGCTAGTTACCATTCCCGTCTAATTGGAAGAGTACCAAATACTTCATGGAAGAAAGATGATATTATTAAGTGGCTAACAGATAGAAATATTAACTTTCCAGAAAAATCAATAAAAATAGGACTACTAGAAATTGTGAAATTAAATAAGTATTTATGTTGTGCGTCTTCCTTTCTATCACTGCAAACTAAATTCCATTGAACTGAGATGGGCACAAGTTAAAGGATATGTAGG